AGAGAGGTCTACCCAAGGTACATATACACCAAGTATCAAAGCATTCAGACTTGTAGTTTTCAAGAAGAAGTCGAAAATGTAAAACATTGACACGGGCGACGATGGACAATCACTCATATGATAAGCTCCGCTCGACAAAGTCGACAGCGGAGCTAAAAACAAGCCATGCATGGCACAGTCCCCGTTAGTTATCAAATTTAAGATATAAAGTTTTGTTTATAGTAATATAGATGAAATACAAACATGTCAGGAATATGATTATGATGATTGTTTAACATTTAAAAGATTGACATTTGTATCTGATCGTCGAACGGGTATTGAGAGATATTGCTCTGGAACAGCATTAATTAAAACAAAATCAGCCATTTTGAGTACATGTATAATGAATAAATAAAATTTGAACATAGTCAGTCAAAGCATGTCAGAGACATGGCTCTAGAAGTCCATTCATTAAAACAAAATGGGCTACTAGTCAGCCATTCTGAATCCATCTAAAAAATAAAATAACATGCATCAGGAACCCGTAACGTCTAATGTTTGCACAAAATGGCCACCATTCGGCCATTTTTAATAGGGTCGTCAAACCAATATATATTGAATATTTAAGAATATTTCAAATTTGAAAATCAGTCACAGCAAGTCAGAGATATGGCACTAGAACCACATTCATTAAAACAAAATGGCCACCAGTCGGCCATTTTAAATCTTATCTAAAAAACAAAATGATGTGCATTAAGGTCCTATAATGTCCAACGTATATGTTAAGTTTGAACAAAATCCATCTGTAAACAGCCGAGAAATGCTTGATTTTGATGATTTTTTAGAACAAAAATGGCCACCATTCGGCCATTTTTAATAGGATCGTCAAACCAATATATCTGTATATCTATGACATGATGTATAATGAATATTTAAATATGAACATAATCAATCACAGCAAGTCAGAGATATGGCACTAGAACCGGTTTTTATTAAAACAAAATGGCCGTAAGTCAGCCATTTTGAATCTAATCCGAAAACAAAATACTGTGCATCAAGGTTCTATAATGTCCAACGTATATACCAAGTTTGAACAAAATCCATCTGTAAACAGCCGAGAAATGCTTGATTTTGATGATTTTTAGAACAAAAATGGCCGCCATTCGGCCATCTTGAATCAGATCGTGAAACAAATTGATGTGTATATGTATATATCCACGAACAAGTACATATTAAGTGACAATTTAGTCAAAGACGAGAAAACTGCACAATAAATTTGCCTTATTTACACGTATCGGCAATGCAAGCTGCCATGCGACTTCCCCTTCTGACGTCACAAGGGGAATTTCTGTATGCAAATGAGAAGCTAATGAGGAGCCTCGTTTTAAAATACACAAAAATAAAGTTGCCGTAGACTGAGTTTAAAACACATGTTTTCACTTAAAAAAATAATTCATGCTTAGAAACATAAAAATTAATAATATTTATGTATCAAATGATAATTTTAGGTGTGAAAATAGCAGCCATTTCACTGGCACTTTAAGCCTCTTAATAAGCTTATTTTCTTTTGTTTCAACCAAAGTTAATTCTAATAAGGATATTGTCTAGCTCATCTTTGATGCCAATGACATTTTGCTTACAAAAGTAACGAGTTAGCGTAATATGATATACATTGCAGATTTTTGAATGTGACCATAAAATATATTCACATTTACTACGTTCATGTACAGGATCTCAACACGTGCCGAAGAATTTAATCTTTTGTGTTTGCAGCAGTTGCGTTCCCGTTATTCGGGACCCACTTAGGACTGACTCGGCTCGTGCCGAAATCACGCCCTCATTCGTCGATCTGTTATTTGGCCCAAACATGGAAAACGATACGCATATGATAATAATAATTGCTATACTTAAATTATATCCATTTGTTATGGTACACATGTATAGTATTTATTATGAGTCATCTTGTACATGAACAGCAAAGAAGAATCAAAAAACAATTATTTTTCACATCAATGTAGCAATGTAGAAAATACCGGTTGCAGCAGCACATAAATATGTGTCGCTGACGATGGTTTGCATTCATTTCATTTCATTATTACAGCATCTGACCATATACTTGTATATCTGCATTTCCTGTCATCTTCATTTTATACTAGTATGAATCAGCATATGTTCTGCTAAATTTACCACCGAGGGCGTGATTTTGGCTAGTGCCGAGCGTTTAGGCAGCAAATCTCAGCACGTGCCGAGTTTCGGTCCCAAGCATATATCGGCACAGAGATCGGTCCGGACCGTTCACACACAAGTTTTGGCACGTGCCGATGCGGCCCGAGTCTCCGCATGTGTCAAGATCTCTAACGAGAACACCACTATTATGAAACTACGGTCATCACACATGCGCACTGGGTTTTGTTTAGGTGTGAAAGGTCAAAATACATTGTACGCATTTCACAACCGGAAATTCAACAGATGAACGTTAGACTTCAGATTTCACATGTTTCAATTATTAGCAACTGTAACAAGAACAAGATTTCAAGCGTCTACAACAAAAATTCATAAGGACTCCTACAAAATATGATCGCAGAGAAAGTGTCTAGGCATGCCCTCCTTTCGATACTATCTTTTCTGGTGGTGTTCGCTGATGCTCGGTAAACGAAAATTTCGAACAGTTTCGGGTTTCAAAACCTACGCACTGACAATGACAATCAATATTGTCACATGCAATCATTACAAATACAAAAAGATTCACGATAGTTCATCAGTTCTTCTGCAATCAATGTAATATCGGCCAATTCTTCATTAAAGTTTGCCAAGATCTCCGGAAACAACAGCATTCAAACCAGACGCCATTTTCAGTCCTGTATATGCGCAGTTCGTCTATCGCTTACGAACATGCTCCGAATATTACCAAATGCTCAAGATTAGCATAATCCATTGTAAGAAGGTGCTAAGAGCTAACAGGAACAAATGTTTGTAAACGAACATTGACAATTGATCATAGGGTAAAGCTAAAACAATAGCGTTGTGACTCCTTCCGTTAGTACCTTTTATGCTTCAACTACATGTATCTCTAAATGCAACAGTAATGTACGTAAAACAGATCTAAAGCAAAGTGTTAAAAAATCGCAACAAACAAACAAAGAAATGAATAACACAATGAAAGATTCAAATTTTGCAATTGTTACCTGTGCACCAACGATACCATTTCCACCATAGAAATTAGGAGCATACATATGCATGGAGCCACCCTTGCCTTTAGAACATCCAGTTTTACGACCTACATATATCAAATTAAACACATGCAATATTAAGAGAAAAAAAAGTTTTCCTGTTGGAATATGGATTCGATTTTGATTTGACTTTATTTAGGTTAAAACACTATGAAGACCAGATTGGTTTCAAATGAAATTGTTTAATTGCAATTTGTATATACATGTACCAAAGTCAGGAGAGATGAGAAAGTGATATTCATGGAGCAATAATTTGGGACAAACTATAAAAACAAACATTTCTTTTCAAATTTTGAATTACATGTACGTTTCAGCTCTCAATTTATGACTTGTTAGCTAAAATAGGATTACTGGCCGAGATCCTGACTAATAGACAGGATGTACCACCACATGGGTGGCTAAACACACTAATCATAATACCATATACATTGTAGCAGTTGACACATGCCATGGGAATTTGTCATAAATCACATGCTAACCATTTACCTGTGAGTTCAGAGAGGACACTATGAACTGACAATCCTCGTGTGTATGCCCATCCATGTGCTCTATATGCAGTGATGACAGCATCATCACGTCTCAGTGATGCTTCTATCCCAACACAACATGCTTCCTAAGAAAAAGAAACATAGTGAAATACTTAAAACCTTGCCCATTACTTATTTTCCTACCCTCAAGATGTTCTAACAAAGTACATTCAGTGTATGTGCTGCATGAGACCCACAAAGAACAGAATGAATATAACGGCTCTTTAACCCTTAAGACGCGATGTACTAAATACTCACAATAATGAGTCTGAATCCCACAGCGAAGTATGAGAATAATTGTAAACAACCCTCTGAGTAATTGCATAGTTTTGAATGACATATGTGGAGTACATAATCAGCAAGTTATTGAAAATGACATAGTCCCTGTTAATTTTTTTAAAATTCTCTTTGTGCTCGTCATATTAAAGCCGTGGGTTGTTGCAAGTGTGTCCTTGAAACTCGAATGCAAACTTGAGTGAAACTAATTGCGTGACAACCCCTTCGGTTTAAGACATAGCAAAGAAAAACATCGATCACAAGTGAAACAAAGGTGCATGTCTATGTTACTGCACTTGCTAAAATTGTTTAAAGTATGTTTAAGAAAATGCAAGTCTGAGGATCGGAATGAGGCACTAAAATTACATTACCATACATCTCATGAATATGAATGCTTGTTGCCATGGTGCCCTACAATAAATCTTTACATGGGGCTTTACAATGTTAACATACAATGTATGACCATAATTCTGGGAATACAGCAATTGCAACTCTTTGTAATTGTATTGTTAGTTCTGGACTAAAGTGGCCAATAGACCCTTTGAACAAGTCAAGCACCCTCTTGTGTTGAATAATATGGTGAAGGCAGGGTCCTCAAATTTGCAGTTTGAATAAATATCAGTTCAAAATAATGCGTTAAATACAATTTAACGTTTGTCATGCCTCTAATTTAAATTCACATGGAAGGGGGTGTCAAACAATGGTGATCTATCTGTGAATTACACTTGCCCATCTACATCATAAAATTAAAAGAACTCCTCCTGCAGGGGGGATAGTTTGTCAGTTTATTAGTGTAAAACGTCCATATCCCCATAACTATCTGAGAGGCAAAAAGCAATATCAGATATGCGAAAGGTGCTTGCTTGCTGCAACAAAATGCAATGAGACATGTAATTGGCAAATCAAATAGTAGCATCAATGTGAATCACCCCTGAGGGTGAATGGCAAGCAGAGTTAAAGCATAGGTCAGAATAACTGGCATGTCAAAAAAGACACCAACATTAAGAGTAAGCTAGGCATAGGCCTGATTCAAAATAGTCTAAGCATGTCCAAGTTATCACATGTTAAACAAACAAGATGGCCGCCAGTCGGCCATATTTTATCAAATTGAATTGACATGTATCCATTTATGACATGCTAAATATCAATGAAAATGATACATGAGTGATACAGATATAGTAATATGGCCAAAAATAATCAAAGAAAGCTTAGAAAGAACTCCTGAACACATTAAAATTAATTCCAAATTTAAGATTTGCTTTTCAAACAAGAAGCTTGGAAACTAATTTTTGTCTGCTATTTGAGATGCATACATAACATGAAAAGAATGTGATTCACATTATCAAAATTTATAATACATTTGATTTTTCATCCATGGTTTTCAGTTTTATTACATGTGATAGATTTATCAACATTAAACTAATCATGTCTGTGGATTACCTCAATGAACTAAATGAATTATTATACAAATTAAGCAATTATCATGCATAGATTTAGGTCTGTATATTGTTTCAGGGTGCACATGTACAAAGTTTCATTATAATGTGATGATTAATCCTAATTAATTAATCTAAATTAGTGGAAAGCTGAAAAAGTAAATTATTATGCAAATCACGTAATTATTATAGATGTATATAAACCTAAAACTAATTTGATCATTACATTGTGTTAGAGTACATATGTGCATTGTCCTGGAACATCTATGTACAAAGATTCATTGCAATGGGATAATTAGTACATGCGATATCAATGTACAAGCCAAAAATTAACTAATTATGCAAATTACAACACAAAATTACAAATGGTACATAACTTTAGGAAATATAGTAGTAAGGCCAAAAAGTCAGATGGCTGTCAATCGGCCATCCTTGATCCGATTTTGAAACAAATTGTCATGGACATGTATGTGCCAAATTTGAATCAAAACTAACAAAGCATGTCCAAGGTACCACATTTAAAAAAAAACAAGATGCCTGTCAGTCAGGCATCTTTGATCCACGTGTG